GAGAGAGAGAGAGAGAGAGAGAGAGAGAGAGAGAGAGAGAGAGAATACTGTTCCTTCTTCTATGCCGCGTTTCCTAATATATAACACTTATAATGTGTTAAATAAGTTTTTTGGGTGGTATCGCTTTTCATTTCAAGTTAGATTGGAATAATATCGTCTATGTCGCTTCTACCGTAAAGTTATGTGTGCGAAATTGCGATATTGGGTATTAAATTTCTCATGAATAATGTGGACAGATCGCATAAAATTTTAATTACAAATGCGTTTTACTGCGACAGATGTCACATTAAATTTCTGCTCAATTCCAAGCATTTCGATTAAAGTGAATAAACTCCTTAAGATATGCATTCGCTCCTCGATTTTTCAATCCTCCCGAACTCCCGAGCCCCGCGAATTGCTCCGCGCGACGACTTGTCCACTCGCGAGGTGACGATGCGAGAGAAGAAAGGAAAAAATGTCAGACTCGTTTAACAAATACTACAGTCCAAGCTTTATTCAACAATTTATAACGCATCGCCGACTCGTCGATATCGGCGTACTCGATAGCATTACATCACGATAAATCGTACTTGCTCATGAAGATTCTAGTTTATCTGTTGATGCGCCTATCCGCCGGTCGGCGACTAGTCGACACATTAGGCTTGCGTGGAGAATCGTAGTGTGCTTGACTGTGCGTCGATATATGCCTCTGTGTTTCAATACCGACTCTATCGGTCTAAGCGGACAATTCCGCGCCATGTCGATAACTGAAGAGTTGGGATCGAAGCAAAGAGTGAGTGATCGTTCCCTCGCGCTACAGTATAATATCCTGCTGTCGTCTATCTGCGGCGGAATATCCGATTTCTCGTCTTATCAACCGATAATTCCTCGAATGTGATCCCTGAGTCCTTATTGGTATATTAACTAAAAAATACTTGTCACATTTTGGAGCAACGAATAACTGCACGTTAAGGAGATCACTTGGCGCTCTATCGTATCGAAGATTAGTATTCCGAAGATTTTCCCGCTAAGTTTCCCCCCCGAAGGCACGTTTCCCCCGCCCGACATGCGTGAAATTATCTAAGAGGCCACAAGCTAGTTTGCAAGTGCTAAGTATAGATAAGAAATGCTCGGCTAGCTAGTTTGCGACTAGCCGCTATGACTTTCTCTCTATGAGGTGATTTTGACTCTATGAGGTAGTGTCGCGTAACTAAATGAACGTGAGAGATGCCCTGTCAATATCGAAAGATCCCAAACCGTACTCGGACGCGATCATACGATCGTTAACGTTCCCCGCTCCGAGATGAAGACTCTCGAGAAGCGTCACGATCGTTCCGTGATCTCAACGACTCGGCCGTTCGCTGCTCCTTTGCAAGATCTCGTATCTTCCGCGAGGTCCGTGACAGGACCTCGGCAGATGTCGGCGTGCGGCCGGCCGCGAACAATTTGTGCGCGAATGAGAAAGAAAAGAGTTGAATGCAGTTGTAGTATCAATGAGTAACTCCCTATTCGTTCTATCGCAATGGGCTTTCAGTCCTAATCTACGTCGATCACGTTGTCGTCACTCTTCCAGTCCACCCGATCATGTCCGGATTGCCATACATATTTACGTGTTCGGGAAGAGTTGCGCGAACGAGAAGTGCTCGACGATATGATTGGACGTGATCTGAAACGCGTCGGAGAGCGCCTTCTCCAAAGGAGGCAGTATCTCTTTTAAGAAGAGGCTGAAATTGTTGTTGATGGCCGAGTTGACGACGTCGCCGAGCGCTTGATCACCGCCGAACAGATTCTCTAATATTAACATACCATCGCCCACGGTGATCTTCATCTTGAATTCTTTGATGCGCATATACTCTACTCCGCTCGAGCTGGAGTATTTCTCTATCAGGATTCTGCAGGAACCTGAAACGTACAAGCGCGAGATGAGACACGTATACGATAACGGAATATCATAATGTCAGAAAACAATAATTTCTCATTATTTCTTCGCTTCGATTCTGAGTTTTTAGTCACCGACTTGACGTGATTTCACGCTCTTTAAATTTCTTGGAGTGAAATCTCACGTTCAAAACGAGCGAAAAATGATAGCATTTTTATTCGAAGTAGAAGACTGGAAATCGCAAGAGTAAATGTTTCACTCAAGCTTAGGGTGGGTTCCACATGAGTGAATGCTTCAATCGATTAGAATGAACATGTTCCTGTGACGGTGGAGTCGCAGACAATTGCTTCCCTTTCTCTCCGAGAAATTTTCATGCAACCCGGTCAATATACCTGTGCAGTCGCTGACGTTGCCGTGGAAATGTCCGGAACCGCGAAGCGGGAGCAACACTATTTTGCCGCTTATGTCGTATTGACCTTCGATGCGAATATTCGGTAGTGACACGTCCACGTGGATGTACGAGTTGTCTAAGTCGATCCTAAAAACAGAGACAATAGCCATTGAATAGAGAAGGTCCGAGGAAATGGCGAAGAGGCATCGACATCTCTCGAAGTCGCGAATGACTGCTGATATGAGTCGCAATTCTCAAGCTTCACACAATGTAACCATGAGCGATACGACAGAAAGAGATATCGATATTACGTGCGCCTTATGCATCCTGTATTAACGGATATTACGACACGACCAATTACGGACTGAATATCAGCTAGCTCAGGCTAATAAACCTCGTCTTCGTGATTCTCACACGCGGGAAGTTATCAAAGACAACCGACAATTTCAACGGTAGGAGGCATCGACCTCTTTTTACCGTCCTTATTATTGCAATGCCAGGTTCCATCTCTTTCTCATTAATGAGAAACTCCGTCCAAGTTTCGCATGCCACGAGATAATGAGAAACGCGACCGGCCCTCGTCACTTCCGTCCGATTTTCATTGATCACCGTTCTTGCATTCTTATAGTCATCTCAGGCTACACTTCGAATGTTCATGTCATGGTCATCTGCGCACGAAGTAACAAACGATAGAGCTCATTTTTCACCGTCGTACGATTTTATGTATTTCTTCTTCTTCATAAGGAAAATAAATTCCTCGATCATTGCGTCAGAAACGATTTCAAGTTGCGTAAAGTTTGTTTTCGATCGGCAAAGTCGTCGCGCGAGAAATAATCCCGACAATAGAGATTGTCGACTGAAAATTTAACGTGAATCTTTTCGATTTTCCATCTTTGCGCTTATTTTGTTTACTACTTTCTTTCTCTCATTAAAATAAATTAAATTAATAAATTAAATTGAAATAAATAAATTAAGAGGTTCAGACACATATCAGTCCTATTTAGGTAAAATTCTTTTTTTCACAAGAGAGACTTAAAGGACGCTACTGATGAAGTGTTTTGTGGTCCGAATAAAATTGACTATCGCAAGAAGTATGATTACGAATGTACATAATTACGTGCATTTGTGTTTACATGTGTATACTTTAGCTGCCGGAATTTATTAAATATTATTATCATGATAATGAAAGCATCAAGCATATAAAAGCATCAACCTTGCATTTTATAATGACATGATGAAAAATTGAGAAAACAAATTCTGCTCACTTTTTTTCGCGGAAAATTACGCAATTTCGAGCGTCAATGATTCTGCTTTGCACACATTCGCTATATTGCTTTCTTCAGCGGAAAAATCACTGTTTCACGGATTGAAACGAAGAATATTCTATTTGGGGTTGATCGATAATGTAGTATATTGATGTCATCATTGCTAATATAAAAAAAATTCGGGGAGGACCTAAGTATACATAATTATGTATACCGGATTTTAGAAAGGAGAGATTGTAAACTAATTTTCTCTCCAAATAAATTCTCCTTAAACTTCCTTTCCCAAAGTTAAGTAAATTTCAATTCTAACTTTAGCATTCCTTCTCTTTTCCTTCCCTTTGCGGATAAGCGACTTCTCGGATAAGTGACTCCACACTTAATCCGCGGCTTTAATTTATTCTCGACAAACACCTCATGATACTACAAGAGTTAAATCTTGTCAAGTGGCCACGGATGCGCCCTTACCGGACTGACGCTGAGTAATTGAAAATATCCGGCACGTGCGTTTCGAATACCTCTCGGCGATACGCAAGTGCCGCGCAGGATATGAAAATGCGACAAGTCAACGACAGCAAAAACAGCACGTATGCGCAATCATCTCTTTCGTAATCTTTTGTGTGCAATCTGGTTGGATTGATGGGCGAGTAGAGGCGTGGCGTACTCATACGCATGGCGATCATTTTAACGTTACGAGCGACTTATCGTCTGATTTCGCGCAAAACGCCGTCGTTACCTAACAATGCATCCTCACGGCCACTTATCGGACAAACGGCGGGTCTCTCGATGACCGCGTTATTTGAGTGTAAAATCTGCATGAGATCATTGTGAAGCAAAGTGTATGTGTGTATGTGTGTGTGTGTGTGTGTGTGTGTGTGTGTATGTGTGTGTATGTCTTTTAAACGCATAAGCGTGTAATTTGGCTGAAACTCCTTTTACGCGCTTCTCACCGTTTTAAGTCACGTCCTTTAACACGTTTGAGACGTGTGGATTGTGATTGAATACGTTTAAGCGCGTTAAATGACGGACTCAAAACGTAAGAAACATGTGAAAAGAGATTCAGCCGGAACAACACACGCGCATTTGCAGTGATAACGCAAATCTGTCTGAGTTCAGTGCAATTTCCGTACACGTTCCATGCTAATCTCGTCGTTCCGAAATTTGCCGACCGCGACGTGAGAGCAGGACTAACATTACACGTTTTCGCATCGCGTTAATCGAGCTTGCTGCGAATCCAAGTGTGTCATTTCGGCAGAATCTCATCTCGCACGTTTCCTATCGTTCCAAGTCACGTCACTTAACAGGTTTATACGTGTTAAATTGTACGTGTTAAACGTTATACGTGTGTTAAACGTTATAAATTGTTATACGTGTTAAATTTATGTCTTAAACGCGACTTAAAACCACACTTTAAAATGACGCGATTTAAAACCACAAGATACGCATAAAAGGAGCTCAAATTACACGCTTGTGCGCTTAAACATAAGACACTTGGATCAGCAGTGAAGTCGTTCTCTATTTCCCTTTAATACTCACTTCAGTTTACTAATATTGAAGTTACTGGCGTCATACACCAAGATGTCCTTTGCTTGCAAGCGCAGGGCGTTCGACGGAGCGAATATCAATCGTTTTAGTATGAGTGGCTCCAACGACGGGATGTTGTACTCCGGCACGCCCGTCTTCAGGTATGGCGCCAATTTCATGATACTTTGCGCCACGCATTGGTGAAATTTCCGCGACTCCACATTCATCTTGCATATATGCAGGAAGTCGGCTGCAATTCCCGTCCGAAATCGTGCACATTATATTAGACAGCCAGTGGGATTGTGAAAGAGTGAAAAAACGATCGGGTAGCCGGTCGCCATCGAGATTTTTCCCGCGCGATTCCGATCGTACACGTCTCCGCGACACGGTCTAATTTTCATGTAATATGCATCTCGCGCACGCATGTGTGTATTCCGCGAGCGCGTTTAACATTTAATAGGCCGATATGTTCTGAACGCGCGCGCATATGTGCGGTTATGGGCAAGAAACGATCTCGTGACCTTTTCGTATTTATTAATGTGCCTTGTCAATAATTAAAAGTTATTAGAAATCAATGCAACATATAATAGAACCCGAGCTAGTTCAATACTCCGCACGCAGCTCTTTCTTTCTTGCAGAGTTACGGTGCAATATTGGTTCAGCTAGAGAAAACCGATCCGCAATAATTTAATCGAAAGAACAAGACGAGAAGGCTTAGTTATCGTTAGATTTTTACTTATATATTGGTCCATTGATCATTGTTCGCTACGTTGCACATGCCAAAAGTCACATGTCAAAAATCTGTTTAGAAATGGCCATGATGTCTCACGAAGCTGACAAACTGATGCTACACACGGCCTCATGCGCGCACAAGTTCCCGCAAATGCAATTCAGAGCCGCGAATCGATCTTTATCTTTTCTTTGCTCAGCTCTCGTCATTCTCCCGCGTTCAATAGCGAAACATAAAAACGTAGAAGTATTCAGTTATTTGTTCAATTACATATCTTATTTGAAATATCACCAAATTAAGAGTAATATTAGTGCGAATAATTAATTTATGGGAAGATATTATTGTTTAGTAAAGTATCAAACACGCACGCGCCGAACAATCTCTAACGTACGCGGCGAATCAAACCTTTCACATCAAGCTCGACCTTGAATCTCAATTATCATATCTTTAGTTAATTCTCCTCATATTTTGAAATTCCAATTGCGCATTTACTTTGATTCCTAAATTTCTGCAGCTATTCGCGTGTAGCGAAGCATAAAGAGTAACCGCAAAAACGTACGACCGCAAAAGACCGCGGAAGTGATTTCGACCAAGACGAAGGCGAAATCGAATGCAAAATCGTGTTTAGACGTGTAATGCACTGCTAAGAGTATTATTTTTACACGCATAAGTGTGACCGAAACTCTTTTTACGTATTTCTTGCCGCGCAAGTCGCAACGCACTTTAAATCCTGTTAATTTAATTAAATATTGAACACATTTAAAAGCATTAATTTGCGCATCGTAAATCATTTAATTAACGTGTAAAAAGAACTAAATCATCTAAATCTCACGCTTATGCGTGTAAAAATAAAACATTTGCAGTGTATATACGGTCGTTAATTTGACAGCTCGTTCGGCACGGTAGCGTAGCAAATTTACAGACTTTAGCACGAGCAGGTTTAAGAAGTCGTTAATATTATAGCAAAATTATCGAGGAGCACGACATAGAAACGACCATTCGACTGTATCACTTCTGCCACTTCGGCACGGAGAAAAATAATTTACTGGCTCAGCAAATTTTCTGCTGGTCTAGCAAAATCTTTTCGTTATTATATGGACAGCAAAAAGATTTGCTAAAAGATTTACTAAATTTATTTGCAAAAAGATTTACTAATCATTATTTTCTGGATATAATTTGCTGGATATAATTTGCTACAAATTATTTTGCTATAAGAACCATGATGGATTTATATAATCAGCTGCAGTTTTGCTCCGATAGCAAATAAATTTGCTAAGGATTATTTTGCATCAGTAGTAAATTAACGTGATTTTTAGGACAAAAATCACAACAAATTTTTTCTATCCTGGCAACGAAACTAATTCTGATAACGAATAACTTGTAAAATTAGTTACGTCAATTAAATTTTTTTGATGTCACTACGAATATGCAATAGCAACGACGATTTTGCTAAAAGAGCAAAATTATTTTTCTCCGTGTGCGTTGTGATTTTTTGTTTGTTCACGTTGTGTATTTTAACTCCAACTTCAATTTATCCAATTAACAGGAAGAAAACTTTTTGGTGTACAAAATTATAGGGCGGGCGGAAACGAAAAAATAAAATAAATAAAAATATTCATTCGCAAATATATAAATGCAAGTATATGTCACGAGTCCGTGAAATTAAGCACGAATTATCGCACGAAGATCGCCTCGACGTAACGCTCGCTATCGACGATATCTCGAGACTGAGATTTCGGTCTATGGTGGCGCCCGTCATCCGAATTTCATTTGCACGTATTTTCTAAAATTTTACTCACGTATCTCTCGTTGACCTACTTCTTTGCTCGTCGCCACGGCCAACAGGATCGTCGTTACGGCGAACGCCATCAATGTTGCCTTCACAAGTGCCATTTTCCACTAAGATTGGGAGAGAAACGACAGACAGGAAGCTCAACGTGCGTACCTTCCGGGGTTACCTGGGGCGCGAGACTCGACGACGGGGGTTGCTGACTCCGCAGACGACCGAAGATGGTCCGCGAGTAGTCCGGCTGGAAATGGATGGTCTGGACGACGATCCGGACGTCTTATAAAGGCAATCACGTTTCCCTCGCTCCTTCCTTCCATCTCGCTTCCTCGCTCCTCCTGCCAGCGGCTACATGACAGTCCGAGATGACAACTATTATGTTCCACCGATAATACTCCCTGCCAGAATGCGAGATGCGCGCACATGTCCGTGGAGGAACAGCTGTGCAGGAGGGAGGTCTTATTTTAACGCGCAAGACAACTCGTTGAGTACATCCGTGGCTGGTGACGGCCGTGGATGCGGCTTCGACTTCGTCCTTTGCGGTACAATGGTTGCATGCAGCACTAACATTTCTCTCAATGAGCTTTCGGATTTGATCGATTTGTACTCCTGAACGAATATCACATCTGAAAGTACACTAAAAAGTACATTGAAAAGAAAGGTGTCTAAAAAGTAGAAGATATTTATTGGGTGGTCACTAATGACATATTTATGTGTACTTCGGTTAAATTCTCTTAATTATCTCTTAATCAAAGCGGCTGATTTAGAACCAGACGCTGATCTCAGTGTGGAAGAAAAGAAGTTTTCTAGAAAAAGCAATTGCCAATAGGTGTTGCGAATATAAAAACCGTAAAATGAAAACAGGTTTCTTGTCAAAATAGTTTTTGTACTCGCAAGATTTACGTGCTAACGATGTGTTGTTTTCACAAACGAGTTTTGATTTTATATATTTACGGTTTTTTGTGTTTGCTATATTTACTGATTGTCGTTTTCTTTTACAATGAGAAAAAATATACTAAATTTCGAAAAACGTTTGTTTGGATACGACTGTGTGAACATATTTGTTTAAATTAAGTAATTATTTTCTAAAATTAAATAAAGAAGTTTTAAATATAAATTTCTTTTTTTAATTTAGAAAATAATTACTTAATTTAAACAAATATGTTCACAGTCGTATCTAAACAAACGTTTTTTGAAATTTAATATATTTATTCTCAATGTGGTAAACTTTTTTTTGCACTTAACTGGCGTATGGCTCTTATAAGCCCATTTCATACAATTGTTTGATCCAAATTTTTTAAATATAATTAACAATTCATGCAAAATTAGCTAAATTTTCAAGAAAATGTATATTTTCTTCGTTGAAAAAAATTTTATTCTCAATGTAAAAATATATACAGACTTATATGTCCGACGATAACAAACTCGCGTACGTGTGGATTAGATCAAACTAAACAAAAATATTCTCTATCATTTTGCAAACAAACATATAGATTTTTTAGTTATTAAAAAAGATTGGTGAACAATTGTGCATAATTATTCGTGGAACTGTTCCAATTAATAACTCAAAAATCTATATGATTATTTGCGAAATGTACAACACTTTTTTGTTCACACAGTTTGACGTAATGTACAGGCACTCAACGCAAATCGTATTTACTGTCGCACTTTGCATCGTATTCCGCGCGATTATTCGCTAATCTTCTTTAATTAATAACTCAAAATTTTACGTGGCTGTTTAATAGAAGTTTTTGATCTAATCTACACGTACACGAAATTCGTATATATTATTGTCAGACACTCTATATATTAATATGAGAGTAAATATATCTTTTTAAATATATTAGTCCACCCAAAAAAAAATAATTTTAATAGAAGTGGAATTCTCTGAATCTTAGAGGATTTTACTCTTATATGTAGTCTCAAGAAGATTGCTTTGAAATGAAGAGAAAAATAATCTTAAACACAATTCTTAAAGATAGAGGAATTTCATATTGAATTTTACAGTGCAAATCTATTTGTTCTTAATATTTGCTAATATTTGTTCTTAATCTAAATTTCCTTTTATATGTTACTTCAACTTAAAAATATTTCTTCTAATATTTAATAAATTTTATCGCATTCACACGAAAGAAAGATCAGAAAACTTTGACCGGGGTGCTTGTGTGTATCTGTAGATGTCCACACTTTTAATGCCATATAAGATGAAAAACATCAAGACTCGGCTGGGATCGAACTCAGGTTTTCCACAGAGGCAACCGCTCTTCCTACTGAGGAGCTATTTAAGACTTCATGTTTGTGACATCTATATACTCAATGAAAAATAATTCGTTGATTAACGTCAAAATGATATCAAACTGACGTCAGTTTGACGATTTCAACGTCGATTTGATTGAAACGTCGACAGTGAATTGACGGTGGAAGCTCTAAGCGTGGCGCTTGGTTTCAACCAATCGTACACGATAGTACGCGAACAACAGTTCTTCGCGTCTCTCATACTGCACATAAGACGGCTTCAAATTAACATATTCCTCTTGATATAAAAGAACACAGATTTAGAATAATATCTCATAAATGCAAAATGAGTGGTTCCCTTTAATGAAAGATGAATATGCTTTCTGTAAGATATTTCTTTTAGAACCTGGGGTTAGAGGAAAATTTACTTTGTATGTAGAATATTTGTAGAATACTTTTTTTGGGTGTATACTCACCGAATAAATATTGGTGATTTTTAGGTATTTCTTTTCTCTTAGCTTCTCTCTCTCTCTCTCTCTCTCTCTCTCTCTCTTTCTCTGTGCATATGTCAATAACTAAATTCAAGAGCTCACTGAACATTTAATGAGCGTTCGTGTTGAATTGAATGCATATAATAAGTGGCGAGCGACAAAAGCGAGAAGTAACGAATCAAAAAAGAGATGCTCGTTTGAGGAAAAGAATCAGAGACGTAATGCGAGCCTGAATGGGTTTCGTGAGACCGTGATCGACTTTTAAATTGGAGAAATCGAGCGTTCGCGTAGCAAGAAGTTGATACTCCGTTTATTCTGGGATCTATGCAAAGATTTAAGTCATTTTTCTTATGAAGCACAAGCGCAAGATATCGCGTGTTGCGCTACGTATACATTTTCACACGTGACATGCTCGGGCAGAACGTCAACTCAGAAGAAGATGGAATGCGAGGAAAAAAAATAAAAGAAAAAAAGAATAAGAGATTACATCGATTGTAGCGACCACTCACAAGCAATCAGAAAGGCAATGTAATTTGCGATGCTCACACGGATTTAGTATTGCGTAAGCAATTTTTTATCATGAAATTCGCATTATCGTTCTTGCAGCAGATCGGCAGAATCGTCGGATATCCTCATCCACGTCGTTTCGAAGATGTTTTTATGCTGTTATGCATAATATGTTGCGTTATGCATGTTATATGCTCGAAACAAATCGCCCGTGCCGTGTTAATCGTCGATCGCCGTTATCACGCGCGTAATAATCTATCAAAACAAAGAAGAGGATTAAAAAATAGACAATTCGTAGGCAATACCTCGTCTTTTCGAATGGAACACATGCATCGCGAAAATATTTGTACAATACTTTTTTTCGGAATTGGACTCGCATAAATTATGACGCACATGAGCTGCATTTCCAATTGACCTTTCCGTTTGTCGTCGAGTAGAGAACTTTTTTGTCTGATCGTGCACACCACTTGAACACGTCAGAACAGAAAACAGAATTTTGCAGCGCGACTCTCCTGCACGGAAAAAGTCATGTAAAACGCGGATCAGACAGAGTTGCGTTTAGCTGCGTGAAAATTCGTTTGACACAATTGGGAACGATTGACTGAGTAAAAATCCTCTTTAATTTTCCTGTCATTACAGCCGAGTTTTCGTCTGTGGTTTCCAGATAACGGAAAATTAGTTGCACGCATGGAATTTTTTTCTATGTTCTGAGAGAGATCGCGTGACACATTGCCAAAAAGAAGAGTTCGGTCTTTAGAGCGGATAAGTGCGCAACGTCGAAAGTTCATCGATTTCATGGACTTTGCAACTCGTTTGAGAAAAATCGCGCGAAGAAGAAACGCCGCATGCGTTTCGGTCGGAGAACCGGCAAAAAAACGAACTTGTAGCGCCCGATTATTATGGAATGGTTATGATTATAGCTTCGGTTGCACAGTGGACGGCACAAAAAGCAGCTTTCAGACGATCAATTAGATTATAAAAAAGACGGATATTCCCGAGACGCTGTTTGCGCATATTACGCAACGCGCGACATTTTACGAAAGATGCGGGTTTCTTGTTGCGGTCGCGCGTGCACGATAGACATAGCAGAGATGAGCGCAAGCTCGAGTATTCGAATTTTGTGGTGCGAAGAGAAAGAAGGCGCGAAGACACACGGAAAAAGAAAATCTGAGTTTACATATCTGAGTACACTGAGAGAAAATTATAGTTGCTTTCTGCTAGAAAATTATAGCAAATATATTTTTTGTGTGATTTTAACCACAACAAAAGTTAGAAGAACCATCTTTCTAATAACACTTACTAAAACAATGGTTTTTCTAACTATTTTTATGATTAAAATCATAAAAGAGCATAGTTGCCGAAAGCAACTATAATTTTCTCTCAATGTAGGGGTCAGACGCAGAAAGTACACTCTCATAACACACTGTAAAACTTTCGTATCAGGTAAATATTCACACTGACTGAGAGCTTAAAGTGTCGATTTTGGGATTTTTTGTCGTTTTCACTACATGTTGAGCATAATGCTCCAATTCATTTCTGCATGTATTTTCAGCGCGTAAAAGCATCTGTAAATCTGTGCAACCAATATGTAAACTTTGCAGAAAAAAGTTAGTATCTTGTCTCGGTAAAGTCTTCAAATATGGCATCCTCTTGAAACTCCTTGCTTTTCGCCACGACCATCTTGATTTCTAACATCGGAAGCGAGAAAATGCATGTCCAAAATTCTTACAAAGTACATCGAAATAAAAAGACGTATTCAAAAAATGACATTTGCGATCGATTAAGCACACTTGCAAAATATTCGCTTTCTTTTTGCTCTAACAATCAATAAATAACCATAAAATTAACGTGATATGTTCACTTCTAGCCTATATTTTCTCATTATCTCGTCACATTAAGTTTTACAAGCATGTTAATTTGGAACATTACTCAATATATGATGAAAATGATAAGAAATTTTAAAATCACTCTTTCGAGTTGTCAATTAGTGGAAATATTTGTCTAATACGAAAGTTCTACAGTTACGAAACATTATTT